GTGCTTTAATGTCTGTGAAGGTAGGAGCTGTATTTGGATCCAGACACAAGGGAAAACCAGTTGGATATCTGTCTCTGTCGTGTCCAAAGATCGGAAATTGTGTATAGGGTTTTATAAATTGGGTGTATTGCTTAAATCCTGAGAGAAAAATTCTAGGGTTGATTTAGTGATGATGATGTTTGAGAAGAGGAGGACTAGTGGTGGAAGATGAGTGTTGATAAGCAATGGTGGATCGGAGAAGCGCATTGGGTTTTGTCTTGTTTTTGGTACTGTTGGACGGTTTTGTCGGACAATCATCACCGTCACGGACTCGATTCGACGAGTGGCTCACTCTGCTTCGTCTCAGGTCTTCTCTTGGGTTAAGAGGAACGGATTGGCCTATTAAAGGTGACCCTTGTGGTGTATGGAAAGGTATACAATGTGATAATAATGGTAATATCATTGGGATCAATATTTCTGGTTTTAGGAGGACAAGAATCGGTAAGCAAAACCCACAATTCGCTGTTGATCCTCTTCTTAATCTCACTCGTTTGTCTTATTTCAACGCATCTGGATTCTCATTACCTGGTTCTGTTCCTGATTGGTTTGGTCTTAGCTTTTCGACAACATTGCAAGTCTTGGATCTTAGTTCTTGTTCTGTAAGAGGTGTTGTTCCTTTTACTCTTGGTAATCTCACTACTTTGAGGACTTTGAATCTCTCTGGTAATAGTTTTACGGGTTCAGTTCCTAGCAGTTTAGGGCATTTGTCGAATCTCTCATACCTTGATCTCTCTAGGAATTCATTCACTGGAGCTCTTCCTTCATCTTTTAGCTCTCTGAAGAATCTCTCGACTCTTGATGTTTCTTCTAATTACCTTACTGGACCAATCCCTCCTGGTATTGGAACGCTATCGAAGCTCCTCTATCTGAATTTTTCCAGCAATAGTTTCTCTTCTGAGATTCCTTCACAGCTCGGCGATCTTGTTAATCTGGTTAATCTTGATCTCAGCATCAATTCATTGTCTGGTTCAGTTCCTCAGGAGTTGAGAAAATTGAGGAATTTGCAGAATATGGTGATTGGTGATAATCTCTTGAGTGGACTTTTACCAGTTGATTTGTGTGATGCTAGGAGTCCACTGCAAACTTTAGTTCTGAGGGAAAATGGTTTCTCCGGTAGTCTACCTGATGTGTGCTGGTCGCTGCCCAAATTACGGATTCTTGACATTGCCAAGAACAACTTCACTGGAATGCTGCCAAATTCTAGTTCCGATCCAAACCCGACAGCTGCAGAAATGGTTGATATCTCCTCGAACAAATTCTTTGGGGAGCTCACACAGATTCTTAAAAGGTTCAGGGCCATTAACCTCGCTGATAATTATTTTGAGGGTACGGTTCCAGATTATGTGCTCCGGGCTAAGGTGTCTGTTACCAGCAACTGCCTTCAAACCCAGAGGGGACAGAAGTCTTTAGAAGATTGTTCATCATTCTATAAAGCTACGGGATTAGTCTTTGATGATTTCGGACGCCCCAATTCTACTCGACCTACATCAAAAAATGCATCTTCAGGGATAAGCCGCAGAACAGCAATTATATTGGCCGCAGTGGGTGGTGGAATTGGTTTTATTCTGATGGTTGTTGTCTTGCCAATTATTGTGGTTCTATGCATGCGCCGAAGAGGCAGAGCGGGTCAAAGAGGAAATGATGACAGGCCTAAACCTGCCGGGGAAGCTACACAACCACCTAGAGGAGCACAGACCTTTGATTTGTCACGTCTTGGAAATGCATTTACATACGAGCAGCTTCTTCTTGCAACTGAGGAGTTCAATGATACTAATCTTATAAAACGTGGCCATTCTGGGAATTTATTCCGTGGTTCGTTGGAAAATGGTATACCCATTGTTATAAAGAAGATTGACATGCAGGAAAGTAAAAATGAAGGCTATATATCAGAATTGGAATTGTTTAGTAAGGCTGGACACCAGAGGCTGGTTCCCTTTCTGGGACACTGCTTGGGGAATGGGAACCAAAAGCTCCTGGTCTACAAGTATATGAGGAACGGAGATTTGGCAAGCGCTTTGTTTAGGAAATCCGACAATGAAGGTGATGGATTGAAGTCTTTGGATTGGATAACAAGGTTGAAGATTGCTCTTGGTGCAGCCGAGGGACTAGCTTACTTGCATCACGAGTGTACGCCACCTCTAGTTCATAGGTACTCTCTTGCACAACTTTTAAGAATATCTTTATTCTATTGAAAGCATTCACATAATGAATCCTGTTACAATGCAACATTTGTAGACCAGGGTGAATAATTCAAATCTGCTAAAGACTTCACTAACTTACAATCCGTCAAGGATGTCATTTACGAATTCAATTTCTAGTATCATATAATCTGTCATATTCATTTGAAGTAAGATATCTTCATGGATTGTTAGTGCTTAGCTTCATAGATGGAGAATCCCATTGATATTACCTGCTCCTAAATTACTTGTTACTCTATAGAATAGTAAGAACAAAAGCGCAAGTATTCATGTGTTTGTGTTCAATGTTGTATAGGGATGTACAAGCAAGTAGCATACTTCTTGATGATAAATTTGAAGTACGTCTTGGAAGTCTAAGCGAGGCATATGCTCAAGGTGATGCTTATCAAAGCAGGATTTCTCGTTTACTTCGATTACCACAGTAAGTGTTTATGACATTAACAGGACCTCTGGGACTTTTGTGTTTACTTTAATTCCCTAACCAGACTCTGTATGTTGTCTCAGCACGACAATATTTTGAAAAACATGTTCTAGTTTTACTAATGCTTCTCCCTCTTCTTTTCTAATTCTTGCAGATCGACTGAATCATCATCTTCAGGTATATATGCATCACGATAAAAACTTTAGTTTAATTATTCTACGTTTTTGGAGTATAAATGTGTGTAACAGTTTAATTGCTTCTTGCCCAATACTAACACCGTAACATGTGTATTAAAAGAGCCGGTTCGTGGATGTTTTTGTAGGAGATATGTTATTTAGGATCTGAACCAATGGAACTAATTCTAGTGCTTTGTAAATTTAACGAATAGGTTTGGTTTGAAGCCGTCTGATTGATTTCCTCTTTCCAGGTGCAGCAAATGCAACATGCGCCTATGATGTCTACTGCTTTGGCAAAGTGCTACTTGAGCTAGTAACGGGGAAGCTCGGGATTAGTTCACCAGATAACACAGAAGCAAAAGAGTACATGGAAGAAGCTTTACGATACATCAGCACAAACGAGAAGGAACTAGTGACCAAGATATTGGACCCGTCGTTAATGGTGGACGAGGACCTACTAGAAGAAGTATGGGCAATGGCTATCATTGCGAAATCATGCCTAAACCCAAAACCAACAAGACGGCCATTAATGAGACACATTGTGAACGCACTTGAGAACCCATTGAAAGTAGTGAGAGAGGATACCAACTCGGGTTCGGGTTCTTCACGGTTGAGAACAAACTCGTCAAGAGGGTCATGGAACGCTGCTATATTTGGGAGCTGGAGGCAGAGCACATCGGATGTAACAGCGGTTCAGGCGGGAGGAACAAGCGGTGGTAACGGTTTGAGAAACTCGGGGTCGCAAGGGAGTAGCGGAAGGAACAATAACAATGGGAATTCATCGTCGAGAAGACGGCAATCTAGTGAGATAGTGCCAGAACCTGCTGCTTATGTAGAAGATGTATAAGCCATTGGAGAGATGACAAATTTATGATTCGTTTCATCGATTCTTTGTGTCGATAATAACAGAGGCAAAGGGAAGTCCTCATGGTAGCTTAATGTTAGAAGAGTGAGGATATGTTTTTTTTTTTTTTTAGATTATCATTTTTCTTTTTCTTTTTCTTTCTCCTTTTGTCCTTTTTTTTGGGTTCTTTTATAATCTTGGGTTAGGATTAATTCACTGTGTTTTTTTTTTATTTTTCTTTTGTTGAACGTGGATTTTTGTAAATTGTAATTCTTGGAGATTTGGTTTTGTTTTTCGGTTTCTTTCTTATTGAGAAACCGAAATAACAAGGAAGGTTCAGTTCGTTTAAATGGGAATCTCATATTGCATATTCGTACGTGTGAATCTGTTGACCGTTGACTATTTAGTTTACACTTGGGAAGCTTTTAAATCATATATATTGGACAAAAATGTGAAAAACAGGTTCTACCGAGAATTGAACTCGGGTTACTGGATTCAGAGTCCAATGTCCTAACCGCTAGACCATAGAACCATTTTGTGTTACTAGACTGTTTGTTATGTATTTATACAATGCTAAGTTATATATACTGTAATACGACTATTGTTTGTCAATCTCTTTTTTGTCATTGATAATATATATTTGAAATGTTGTTGGATCAACGTTTTACAAGAGTCGGAAGCTCCAGAGATAGTCTACATAATCCAGCTAAGTTAGCTCAAAAACTCAGGGGACAAAAAAAAACGATAACATTAAACATA